GCTCGTGAGTTTCACCGAAGTGGTAAACGCCTGAGACCTGCATCACTTTGGGTTTTCCTCCCACATTAAGCTGACACACCGTGACATACCTGGAATACTGTTAAAAGTGACATTAAACCAAACTCACTGACTACTCAAATGTGAATCAAACCATGGTTTGTCATTTGGTAAATAGTGATGCAATACATTGTTTTACAAAATCATTCAATCTTTAATACAACACTTCGCACATGTCATCAACATGTGTACATTCATTAATAATACAGACCAATTGATAATGTTTATGAGATCAATGTAACAAAGTCTTTTTTGTTATGACATAAAACCTTGTGTTTATGAGCTATCTTGGTGCATAGGTGTGTGTCCATTTCACTTCAGTACCTCTGTGATCAGATGTTGTACTATCGATGTCGATCACACCACTGACCTTTACATCAACATCTTCACTAACAATGATTGGATCTAAAAGTGTGCTAGATTTAGAAGTTACTCCAGTGGGCTTAACAATTACATTCTTTATTTCTTTTCTGTGTAAAATCTCGTTCATGATTTGTTTTCTGTTAGATAATAAATTTTCATTTAAATCAGCGAACATCACCATTTTACTAGATATATCCAATGCAACTTCGATCGAATTATCTAACCGACTCCAAAACTGTATGGATTTGTCTTCTGTTCGGTAAACAGCACAGAGCAATAAAGGCTTTTCATATATGATATATAACGGCATTACACTGAGCCCTGAGAAGTTTGTCTTTGCTAGGGATACAGTTGAATTTGCAGGCTTTGAGATAACACATGACTGTGTTCGGCCCTGTAAAATGTACATCCAAGTCATCTTGGACCTTCCCACAGAAATAAGAAATATTACAGAAACACGGTCATAGATGATCACTTAGACGTGTTGTTTTAGGAATCAAAGGCAGTCACTGTCAGTGAAATTGTTGAGGGTGTACGAATATTTGACAAACGGTTTCCTTGCTACTAAATGGTCAAAATGTGGAATTGGATTTTGGCTATTCCAAAATCATTTCAAATGCCCTGAGACAATCCCTTTCTGTTGTTGCGATTGTTCGAAAACCACTGTCGTTGGCAGTCGATTCACCAATGCAGCAGAATCCTGCTATGCCCCTGTTGAAGGATAGGTATTGGCAGAGGCTGATGCACAGGACGGGTACTTTGTCCTCGGCTGTAACGATCTCACTGTTTCGGTCGACCACAAACCACTTCTGAAGCTGTTTTCGACCGACTCCTTGAACATATCTCCAATACTAGACTCCGAAACCCTAAGCAAGAAACATTGCACTACAAATTCCAGATGGTTCATGTCCTAGGTGCAAAACACCACGCTGCTGATGCTGTGTCCAGCCATCCAACTGGCCACCCTGTGAAAATGGTGTTAATAGATGATGTCGCAGCGATCTGCCAGGATGAAGTCTTGCTTGAGCTCCGTAAACCACATGACACATGGAGAGGAAGCTTTGAGAAACCGACATATATGAGGATGGCTGAACCGCTTACTTAGCTGCCACCCCTTATTGTTGGGAATCTCGTCCGAATCCAATATCAAACCGGCCCTCACTCACTGAAATGGGAAAAAAACTTGATGTGCGATGGAAGTTCGCCAATTCGACCAGTATGTTGTAGGTGTGGACGGCTCAGGCAGAGTGACTCTAAGCAACAGGAAATTCCTCCGCGAATACCTGTATATCAACCCACACCAACAGTCACAGTTGCTGATCATTTGCCAGGCAATTTTCATTCAACATCACCATCTGATCTCAATGGTACACAATACCGTGCTTTCTTGCAGAAGGCCTCATTCAGGCTCAGCAATGACAGTCGTGCCACCAACGACAACTGTGAGTCCCTCAGACCTGTCATCGGCACTACCCAGCTTTCAACACCAGACTGTTGTCCCTCGCAACGACACCAAATATACAAATACTACCACACCCATGTCCACGACCTTAAACTCAGACATTCTACTCGGAGAAAGATTGAATCCTCGTGGCTTAGTTACTATATTCATGCTATTTTGGTGGAATCACCCCTGGACAGTATGACTGTAAATCTGATAAATATTATCAGACATACATGCGTCACATGACATTCGTGTCATCCTTCCCTTCCAATGATATGGTGGATTGAAACATTCATAATATATGACATCAACACACTTGAAAACATTTCAGTTCATTTTAACACTCAGTCAAGATTTGACTTATTTAGTTCTTGTCATACCTTTTGCAAGATCCACACTGACTTGGGTAGGGAAAGAGGATTATGTACATTTACATTTTACAAACATTTGTTGCATTAAGTTATGTTTCCTGTTCTATGTCCCAGATCGCCATCATATATCTGATATTAAAGTGACACGCCGATGCCTGACACAACTATTTTAAAGTGACACGTCTGACTATCTGTTTTCTAGCCTTAACTCGCCAAGGTAACAATCATGTTGATACAATTGATATTCTGAGTAGAAAATTGAATTTTGTGTCTAAATTCCTTTATCAATATCATTAGGAAGACGAGCAGTATTGTCAATGTTAGCATGATAACTCTACATGCAATTTAAATGTGAAACTAGTGTCATGCAATCGAGTGAACCTACCCATCACAACTGCCTCTGTGGATGTCCCTGTTGTGACTGTAGTGCCATGTAATTCCAGGCTTCCACCTAGAGTAGTGGGGATGTACACAGGATTAATACGCAATCCTGGTCTTTGTTGAGCATTACGAGAAGCAGATCCTCCCGAGCCGACTACAACATTGTCCTCAGTCTGGTGCACAGTTTCGCCAGAAAAGGGATACACGGCCGACACCCTCCGTTCTCCATTCACAGTTTCATCCACGTTATCACATGTATGTGTGTCTTCTGACCCTGTCACCTGTTTTAACCAACAACAAAACAAACCATAAAATGGTCCATGCACAACGTAGCTTAGCCCATGCACAACGTTGCTTAGCCCCTCTACATTGATTATGTATAACATAATTGTGTTTATATATATATATATATATATATATATATATATATTATATATCTATATCTCTCTCTCCTCTCTCTCTCTCTCTCTCTCTCTCTCTCTATATATATATATATATATATATATATATATACTAAACCGCAAAAGAAACGTCACACCAAGTAACATTTCATGAAATGTTGTCATTTAAATATCTGCGTAACCTGTTATGATGTTACCCAGATATTGCTTGCAGGGTACCATCAAACACTGATTGTGAAAACTTTATCATACCAATACGCTTTAACTATACGTCCAAACTAAAACAAGTATGTAAGCATGAGGGTATAACATGCAATGAATAACTACTAGTTTCAGAATAAATGGCACAAGCAAAGTTACATATGGTTTAGGTCAGGATTGTAATACATGCATATTTCTGATAAATTGACGGACATATGCACAGAGTGATGCCTATGAATAGCATTACGAATTCACAAGTTATACTCTGTACCTAATGCATGTACCTGACAAGATTGTACAATTGATTTCTCAATAAGTAATACCCCTAAAGTCAATCAATTTTTTTAAAAAAGAAACACGATAGGAAATTATGAAAACAGAATAAAATAATGTATGATAATTCATGTCATGATGCACTGTATGCATCTCATTGATACGACTTGTATTATCTTCAGGGACTGTTTGTTGTACATTTTCACCTAGGTTTTTCCCAGGCGTGTCTGTGGATGTTGCAGCTATAAATATATTCATGGGATTCATTTTTCATCAGCGAACTTGATCTGTTTTCAGGATTAGTAAAGAAGTCCTGAGTACAGGCATAGCATCCATGATAGTTATGTTATGATATCCATTTTGAACAGTTAGTGGTCGTTGCACATCATTCACCTCAACAGTAGCATAAGCTGCACTTCCGGGTTCCCCAACAGTTATATACGGAGAGGAACAAGGCGTAACTGTTGATTGTGATTTATTTGACATACCTGTTTGTTATTGAATACAAAGACGACAATGACACTGATGACGGTGATGATGACGATGACCATAACAACTCCTGCAATAATAATTGGACTGTTTAGTCCACCGCTCTCCTTGGTACCAGCTGTTTTGGGTTCTGCAAGATAATGTATGTTACGTGTCCATCTTGATACTTGTTACCGATTGAGTGAGGTAAGTTTCAATGATGTTAAAGGTAAATATAATGTTATATGTATTTCCATTCTTCACAGACAAAAGATTAATGTCACTTTGCATGAATATACCATTGTATTATTGTTATTGTTAATAAATTAAGCATATCTAATATAACGTGTTGTGCACCTGATAAAAGACACAATCACTGAATCGCAAATAAATAGTGATGATACCATGTGCTCCTGAATCATAATCAGAGAACATCTAGACGTAATAGCCTCAGCCTCATATCTCATATCTCAGCCTCCTCGACAATCAACAGATACTTACTCTCAAGGAGTTTCGTTATGCCATCGCATGTCAGATTCCAGTGTTTGTGTTGACAGTTGGATATCAGCCTTACATCTCCCAAGTGTGCTTCGGTCACATTGAAGGTTTGTGCTGCACGATCAAAACCAGCCTTGGCATGACTGACATACAATAATTGTTGGACATTCCCTGTCTGTAGAGTGAAGTTGGATGCAACGAGACAGTTGTAGCCAATAATGTCCACTAAGAGTATCAGGTCTTCATACAGGGCAAGCTTGTCAGTGTCTTTGTCACTTGATATGCTGCAGGTTGGAGTCTCTGAAACAGATGTAGCTACCTGTCAAATAGTCGAGAGATAAATATAAGAAATTAATACGTTTTTATATTCTATTCATGAGCTACAGGACAATGAGGACAATTTCACAATAGCTGTTGTTAATATAAAGACGGTATTCACGTTTATGAAGAAGAAACGTCTGGATATTAACTGACTTCAAGGTATCTTGAATAAGGCATCACCAATTCGTTACATTTTGTTTATAAATTATATAAACTACTTACTGAGTTCCGTCACGCCATCGCAAGTTGTATTCCACTGTTTGGTGTGACAGCTGAAGATCAAGCCTACAATTCCGAGGTGGGATTTCGTCACATTGAGGGTTACTGCAGTAAATTTGTCAGTGACATTAGCTACATGTTCAGCTCCCAGCAGTAGTGTCGACACGTTCCCAGTCTGGAGTGAGAAGTGAAAAGCTGCAGAACAGAAGTAGCCCCGGATGTCCACTGTGAGTGTCAGCGTCTGATACAGGGCAAATACATCTGTGTCCTCAGTACTGGTAATGCTGCACGTTGGTGTCTCTAAAACAATAAAATATTCTTGGAATAAGAACATGTTAAAACCCGAAATAGTTCGCTGAAATCGATTTGACCGATAGCATTCTAATCCTATACATTGCATAGCCAAATGATAGATACAGGTACATCAGCTTTGTGCTCTGTACTTTCTTCATATTACTTGTACCGTCGATTTTCATGAGTGGTATTTGCAAGTTATGTAGTTATTGCCATTATTTCTTTGGGCGTTGGACATTGTCACACAAACAATTCCAAACAAATATGTCATTGACTGTTAAATACTAACGGATTAAAGTAGCTGCGCTTCAGATAAAGTTCAATAAAAATAAAACTGTTTTTTTAATTGAATTATTTCATCTGACCATACATATTCATGATGACATTAAAAACCTGATTTACAATTTGCACGTGCACAATTTAGATGTGTACGTGTTTAGTTGGGGAATGTTTCTCACACAAGAGGTTCCTGAATGTGAACACAATTATTGCTCAGCTATCAGGTGCTAGTAAAAGCACTTTTGTTTAACATTTTATAACACTAACGCAATACCACGGTTTGCTAAACAGGCAACACTCATACCTTGTCACAGGCTGATCGTCCACAAGTGACGTCATGTCATTAAGACATCCATTTTCGTTTGGTGCATCTACGGAATCTATACGCATTAACAGCTCGGAAAATTCATGCGTTGAAAGCAGTCACTGTCATGCACACCTAGCCTCATTTACAATTTGCAAGTTCATGTACGGCGCTCAATTTAGATATTTACTTGTTTGGTTGGTGCATGTTTCTGACACAAGTGGTTCTTGAATGTTAGTTTATGTTAGTTTATGCTAATAAAAACACTTTTCTTTACCACGGCTTGCTAAAAAGGCAACGTTTACATTATTCTTAAAGGCAATTTAAATGGCAAATGCTCCCGGAACGAAATCGCTCAAGATGATGTTCTACCCTATATGCAAATGATGGGATGTAACGTCTAGATGCCCGCCCACAGATTGCACGTATTGTAACATAGTTTTTGAGGCAGCATGATATTGCTGTACTGCCATGTAAAGTTAGCTCAGCTCGGCCAATCTTTGAAGTATTTAGTTTAGAACAACATCAAGGGGATATTAAGGAATGTGACATTTCCCACATATGAGAGGATAGTATCTTACATACAGTACTTACTGAACTGTGTCTGACAGATGTGCTTGAAGTAACATACACACATGTAAAAAGGTAGACAAGTCTTGGACTATGTGGGCTATTGCAAAATACCTTTTCATTTCCGGACACGGATAAATTTTGTTTAGAACAGAATGTTTTCCTCTGGAATGGTTGATTTTTAACCTTCGACAGTACTGTAAAATGCATGGTTTAATAAAATAACTAACAACAACTCAAAACCCACGGACAATGCGTATATGACTGATCCTCCCTAGTGGCAATAATGCAAGTTTATCACAATACTCAGTGGAAGAACCTTCTATTTCATATGTATCATTAAAGAAACAGTGAAAGGGATATAGAATAAAAACAGACTAAAATCAGAGCCATTTATTAAATATATTGCTGCAAGTGTTGCATGATGAAGGATTGTATTGTTATACTGGATATATACATATTTCATATATTATTTGTAATAAAGACATTTTTATCTATAATTTAACTTTTTATGTTTCAAGAGGTCAACATCAGCATTGAACTTACTTGTTATGACAACATTGCAGGATGCAAGAGGACCATTTGGAATATCAGCACATGTCCACTGTCCTGCGTGATGTGGTTTCACGGTCAGTATCCGGAGGCTACTGTGGGTTTGGTTGATGATACTTGCATTATATTCGTTTATAGGTGTACACAACTGTAATGATGCTATACACTGTGGACCAAGAGTTGAACGTGGACCAGTGTATTGAAGAGCGGTGTAAGGTGTCGACGTCGAACAATTCATCAGAGCAGATTCCTCGATGTAGGATACGTCAGGGCAGATAAACTCTGCTGTGGTGTCTGCAACAGAAGGATGACTTACCGAATGTCATACTTGTCCGACACCACATCTCGCATTATTTGACTCATTTCCGGAGTAAATATGTGTGACATGTTTAAGTATAAAAACTTGCGTGACAAATATATGTATATTGTGTTGGAGTGCACAGCGATGTGATAAATACACCGTGCTTTCAGGGAAAAGCCAGGTTACCTGTAACAACGCAAAATTATATTTGAATAGTTAAATTTATCCACTTTTTTTCTGTAAATATTAGCTTCCGCGATGACACTATCGTTTTCATAGGATGTTTCAATCAGACGTGGGTATAGTGATTTGGTACCTCTGATTGAGCAATCAGAATTATGCTTTCAAGCCCATTAATGACCTCCATTCATGGACATGATAAAGCCTACGAAACCTACGAATGTATTTTATCTTAAATATGAATTTCAGAAACACTGAGAAACTCACAGTAGTTTAAACTCGTGCTGCTCATGATAAAGAATAATTTTAAGGTTCCAAGGCCCACTGACAGCTTCATCTGTTAACACAGACAAAAACAAGACAATATTATTCAGTAAAGGCATTTATATATCATGTTACCTTCTTATGCTGAGTATATGTGTGTGCTATATTTGTGTGCAAAGAGAACATATCGTTGCCACGCAAACATTGCTCCGAAACATATCATTGTGGTCGCGTTACATTTCATGTATTTGATAAGCCACTGAATCAGTTGGTTAGCAACAAGGAAATTATCATCTGATATAGTCGTGATTAAAAATCGTAGTAAATGAATTTGAGTTTATGTCTCATTTGATAATAGTTTTGTTTGAGTCATATCAACTTAGAAGCGTAGGAGACGTATACGTAGGCCATGATTATCTCATTTTCTTGAAACCACCAAGCATTTACATAATGCTGATATTCGAATCCTCATACCCCTGAAAACGGTAGCTTCATGCATAAGTTGATCATACTAAGTTACATTTCATAGAGGGCTGCTAAAAAGAGGTCTACTTACAGTAAGTCGTGTCATTATTTCAAAGATGACAGATAACTTGTCTTGTGTTACGACTGACATCGGAGGACGGCTTCCGATACTGTGACGGAAATAATAAAGCAAACGCTGTGGAAAGGAACTTTCATCCAAATGTGCGTTTGATAAACATTAATCAGTGGATTTTACAGATACAAAACACTGACACACTTTATATTTACACTTTACGACGAGAAACACATTCTGACATTATTATTACAAGTCTTACCTGCTAGGTGTAAATGATCCAAGCTATACATCCCAGCTGAGATGATATGCTACATCGATAATGCCTCCAATATTGTGTCATGAAAACGCTGTAGTTAACTGTAACCAGCAAAATGAACCATGTTACGTATCCTAATCAGGTTATTCACATGTGCCGATTCGAAGTGTGCTATTTCCTCTTAGGAAGGTTACATGCGCATGTCCGTCAACGGCAAACCATGTCTAAACGTCATAAGAGAAAAGCTGGCACATGAAAAAGGATGTTACTGAGTATTATCAAAGGGAGATAATCGTGTTTACACATTTATACTCTATGCGACTGAAACAAATAGACCAATTTTGAAAGGCAGTCACATTCGAATAATTTCATTCCACGATAATCAAAGGACAAATACGTACTGCACAATCTGGACACATTCAGGGATATCTTGAACCCATTATATTATGTATATTATCTCTCAAAGTACAAGGCAAGCTTTATATTTAACAAACATCACAACACGATTCTGTGTATTATGAGTGACTCGCCATCAATATTGGATCTACACTTAAAAGACGGACATGAAGTTTTTCGAGTTTTCTTCACTATGCAACTGTTTGTCATGATATACAAGACCGATACTTTGGTAGATTGTCGTAGACATTATTATTGGATTGCCTAAAAGTCGGGCCGGGCCGGGCCAAGACGGGCCAGAGTTTGTTGTGCTAATTACTCCATTTTTGGCGGCCATACCTACATATTATTGATGCGACATGCACACATGGCATTATTGAATAATCACCACCAAAAACGTGTACCATAGTGATTCGGAGTAAATCGCTCGAAAACCAGAAAGTAGAGTTGTGTGTAAGCGTCGCTGCGAAATAGGATTTGAAACGTATCAAATACTTCTACCTATCGTGATACAAATATCCATCTATCGACATAGCGTTTTCATGTATAGGTTAGTACTATATCTAAGTAAATACCAGCTAATAATGTCACAGTTCATCGTATTTAAAGCAGACACGTTGGTTAAAGTAGACCTCTTCTCCCCATACTCTCAACAGTCTCACAAGTGTTCGGTCCGACTTGGCCCGAGCTGTCAAAATCAGCTTTAAACACACAGATGTATCATCAGATGTATTTACATCTATAGATTAGAATTATATCTACCTATATACCACTTTATAGTGTCTCAGATCGCGCTATTTAAAGAAAACAAGGTGCTCAAAGTGAAGACCTTTTTCCTCTACATTCTCAACATAGTCTCTCTCAGGAGTGTTTGGCTTGTGTTTGGTCCGACTTTGCCGACTTTAAAAACACAGATGTATCATCAAATATATTTATATGCTGGATTACTGCATATAAGAAATGCAGGTTAATATTAAATAATATTTATTGTATATAAGTAATATCTAGTGTTTTATCCATAGTTTATATTTGACTAGATTGTAAAATTGTATATGTGGTATGTCTAGTCATAGTTATAATATCTTAGTAATAGAGTATATCAGTTGTGTAATGCTACTGAATAGTTATTTGCATCACAGTATTATACTACTTAGTTACAACTAATTCTGTGTTGTATATTTAGGTCCCACTATACATGCATGTCGCTGCTGTGGGAAGGGACAGACACCCCCGGTGTCACCCACAGGATATGTATGATATGTTTATTTGTGTCTGATTTGTGCGAATATCTGTAAGCAATATTTAATATTATATTAGAATAAATACAATGTAACTATTTAAATCATATTCATGGCTACGAAGCGCCTCCTGTAATATATGATTATGTTACATGCATTAAGTAAGTTCATAGATACAGAATATAATATATATACTGTTGTAACATCTAGTATGCATAAATGTCTTCTAGTTATTCCATAATTAATCTGTGAGACATCTTTTCAGTTGGCATTTATAGTAAAGTTGATTGAGCCTGTATAATCATGTGTAACATGGTGAAAATATTGTCCGTATATCATCGCCATTTTACTGTCGAGAACAAAAATACATACTTCAAAACCCGCGGATTGTGTTTGCTGAATGTTCCACCTACTGCGCTATACCCCTCTGCAACATGTGTCTGTGCCCATGAAAACATAATGATTGTCTTTTTAGATCACAGACACCTTCACATGGAATAAGTCGTTTTTAATTGAAAGAAACGCGTAAAGGATTATTCCAAATAATTAGATACTTTCAGATTGCGTAGACGGGGCAAAACATAAAAGGTGTTGGCTTCTAATTGTGACACTGTTAGTACAATGTATTTACTACATGCCATTCCACTTCCTGTGTTACAACAAATGCAACCCTCTTTACCCAACAAGCAGCTATTAGTTATTACTCTATTTATAATCCCAAATTAAGTGAGAACATGTTTTTGACTTTCCCATTCACGAGATTGATATAAGCTTTTATACATTGTTTGATCTCATTGTAGTGTACGTTTTGTAGCTATTTTGCTGAATAAATTTAACTTAAACAGTCTATTCCCACAACAGATAAAGTGTGTCGAACTTTTGGCATGTGTATATGGTGACATAAGCTATGATCTTTCGTCAAAAGTTTTTTTCGGAATTTGCAAGAAAGGTAAAAAAAATAATTCAAGACTCACATGTTCATATTTATTGCAATGTGAATTTTGAACGTGTTAAACTTTCGCAATTATCAGGTCTTTGACAGGCATTAAGAAGCGATACACATAAGGAAGAGAATATATGGATGTCAACTTCTTTATTATGAGGAACACAACATTTCGGAGTATGAGACTACTCCTTCATCAGGTGAATGAATAACTTACTTACTTACTTACTTTGGAGATTTAACGTGCGCTTTCCGACTGATGCGTATTTCGCACACGGGCCCGGCCAGGCCAGGCCATTTAATGTGTTTCCGGAAGGGGCGAAAGTGGTTTGTGCAACCCAAGAGGGGGCTTTTGGGGTTGCTTATATAGAATTGGGGAATTTTGAGATTTGGAATAGATTACTTAACTTAGGTGAATGAATGCAATGAGGCAGAGAGCAAATATATGTACATGTAAGGACAACAAAATTAATAAGATAACAAAAGTTGGAAAATAACAAAGGGTACGAGCTAACAAAGGAAGCCAACAGATGATTGGCGCTGATAAGCAATAGACAATGAGCCAACACTTACTGTTATCATAGCTAAGTAATTGGTAATTGACATTGGGCAAATGGAGGGATGTGGTTGAAGGGGTGGGGTGGGTAGGGGCACTGATAGGTGTACGAATGGACATAGCAAAGGGCAAATTGAAGCTAGCTAGGCAATTAGCCCCGACAAAAATCAAAGCATAACATCCCAAGCACGAGGCACATAGGTTCCCTGGTCACGGTTCATGGTTGAACAACGGTTTAGATGACAACAAATTATAAAAGGTTCGTCCGACTTGTTTTACTTGAACGGAAAAGTACTGTTTTGGGTGTAAATAATGTCAAAGATATTTATGTTTGCACAGAGTTGTGGTATTCCTTTCCGGAGTCACCACAGGAGTTCGGAATTGGTGGCACCATGGCCAGGACTAGAACACCTTTCTGAAGCTAACCTTTTGGATCGACTAACGTAGGTTGGACACACTGAATTCATGTCAAATGACATAGTGAGAAAGGACTTTATCGCGGATGATGGGCTACATCAAGGACCAGCAGGTCAAAAACAGCTGGCATAAGACCTGATCCGTGCTCTTTCTGGCAGCCAGGGCCAAGTCGGACCGAACACTTCTGATAGAGACTGATACTATGTTGAGAATGTAGAGACAAAAGGTCTTCCTTCACTTTGAACACCTTGTGTTCTTTAAATACCGCGATCTGAGACACTATAAAGGGGTATATAGGTAGCCTTTATACTAGTCTATAGATGTAAACCTGTTTGATGATACATATGTGAGGTTTAGGTTGATTTCAACAGCCCGGGCCAAGTCGGACCGAATACTTCTAATAGAGATTTTCTTAAGAAAATACAGTTAAAGTGTTTGACTTTAACGGACCAGTTTTCTTTCAATGCGATAAACTGTGACATTACAAAGTGGTATATAGGCAGATAAAACACTAGTCTATTGATGTAAACACATTTGATGATACATCTCTGTGTCGATTTTAACAGCCCGGGCCAAGTCGGACCATACACAAGCCAAACACCTCTGAGAGAGACCATGTTGCGAATGTAGAGGGAAAAGGGCTTCATTTCAAGCACCTTGTTTTCTTTTAATACCGCGATCTATGACATGATAAAGTGGTATATAGGTCGATATAATACTTGTCTATAGATTACTGGGCCTCAACCTGCATGGTGTCAACATGTTGCATATGCTGCCGTATGAAGTTATAGTCACAACATATTTACTGTTTCGCAAATAACACATCAGCACATGTCTAAACTACACATACTAGTCATGGTGTTGTTTTAGATGGGCACACCGAACACGTCATTAAGCTGAGTGTGCAATAATATCAACAATATGTTGCTTCAGATACGATATGGCGTATTTCTGAGACGCGGGTCGGATTTAGGCGAGTGTAGTTTCTTGTTCCTTTCTATGGCTATGACAGTGTGATATGATTCAAAACATACAAAAATAATACATTTATATGAAACGGTAACAATAACTGGAAAACAGTCACAATTGATATAATAAGTGAATAAGCCAATATTATTGATAACAATCAGTTACGTGTTCCCACGCATCGCTCCCATTGAGGAGTCATTGTCCTGTGTCGACTTGCGCTACTCCCAAACTTCAACGTTAACTTACTGTAGTCGTACTGCTTAGATATTTTTTTTTGAAAGTGGACTCTGGTCGTCATTATCCCATATTTATTTTCCCCTGGTTACAATAGTGCACAGTACCCCATGCGGGTCTTCCAGCCTTGTTGTAATATGAGAGCTGTCAATATGTTATCGTTGTCTGTTTCACTTTGTAAGCAACGGATCACGCCGTCAGGGCACGAGCGTACCGGAACTGGGGCAATCGAGATATTTATTCAGAAGTACACTTCGCTTGATAGGCAAAGCATCGAGTTGTGCTATAAATGTAAACTGATTGATGTTGTATTACGGTTGTAATGAAACCACATTACTGAAACAACTGTATTGCTACACATAGAAACATAGCTATGTTATTGTTGTTGGTTAACGACACGCTCAGCATCATTCCAGTTAGACTATATAATCGAGGCCATACCATCCAGTGAGTGACATCCTGAGCATCGATCTGAGCATTTGAGCTACGATGACATGCGTTAACCACGTCGGCGAACCTGATTCTGTTGGTCGGCTCTTACAACAATCATGGGTTCTTTTTCTAATCCTGATCTTTACGGGAGCTGTCGACCATTATATAAACATATACAATGTACGCATACAAGCATAACACATTCACTGGTCGTGTCACATTTAAATGTATCT